AACGCTACCGTCACAAGGCTCTACATCTTTGTATTTCAAAAGATTTCCTTGCAAATTAACTTACTATAATAGAGCAAGATAAACTTAGAAATGAGGTTATCCGCAGTAGAACCAGAGTAACCGACATAGCCCAACGGATTACGGAAGGACAACGGAAGTGTGGGGCGGCCCCACTAGATGGAGTTACGATCTCGTAAGACATTCAAGAAGTCGATGGATGCAGGTGGCTCAGGAACGTGCTTTGTAGTATTCTTTGGGGGAGGCCTAAGTTCAACAGTAGACTTGTGAAAGGCTGTAATGATGATGATGATGATGAATAGAGCAAGAAATTGTAATAAGTTTATACGTAAAATATAAAAGTAGTCAATTAGTGAAAAATAAGTACGTCAATCGGATATCTTCACTGAAACGCAATTGGCTTAACCGCTTATCTATCTTACATTATTTTTGTTGAAATGTCATCAACATCACGTAAAGTCTTCATATATCTATACAAACATAACATTATTACAAACCTGTAGGCGCTACGTGCTTTCATGTAGATAATTCATTATCATAAACCATACAACGTCATAAATATTATCTGAAGTGATAAGATTTTCAGCATTGCAGGAAGGAGTTGGACCGAACACGTTTTAACTGTTGCCGCTTTGAATACGTAGAATATTATATTATACCTACCTACGTGAACATCGAAAATTGGTGCACGTTTTATATAATTTATAATAAAAAAGAGGGGAATGAAACTTATATCTCCTAAAGGTACTGTGGCATAGAAGTGCATAAAATCAGTGTATGTCGTCGTCAAGACAGGAAAATAAAGTGAATATAAACACATGATTCTTCCACACAAAACGCTTTTAACCAATTTAATAGTCTTTTTAACAGTGGTAGAGCCACGCGGCAGCTTTTGCTGTCGCACGGATGGGCCAGCTCGAACCGGGGTAGTACCACGACCTCACAGAATACCAGCGTGAAGTAGAGGTTTACCTCTGCGTTTCGCTTGGTGAGTGCAGGTGGCCGGAGGCCCTTTTTACTGGAAATGAGGCATTCCATCTTAGTCCTCACGGATGACAACGCATCTGCATTTTGATTCGCAAACGAGGATAGATGTAGATGTCTATGGGCCGCAGCAACCACTTACCATCAGGTGGACTGTGTGCTCGATTGTCACCCTTATCCTATAAAAAAAAAGTCTTATTTCGACCTTATACGATAAAAGTAAATACTAAAATCTGGCGTTTTAAAATCATATAACAATATAACCACATAATATCATATCCTATAATACAAAATAACCTATCCTAGCACCTATTCGCAAAGATTGAAAACACTGAAGTCCGTATCGTATCTCGTGAAATTTTAAACTATCTTTGATAATATTGCTTATACGCCCTTTATCTGAATCTCTTTAAAATCTATAAATAAAAAGCAGTTACTGATTGATTAAGCGACTACGATTACGGCTGTTGGTAAATAAATTTAACATGCATTAAGCATGTTAACTATAACATATACACTCATGGACAAATTTAGAGGAACGCAAAAACATCTTAATTTCTGGTATTGTAACTATTGTGCGTACAGGCCTGGCCACAAACATTAGTAAATGCTATTAAAAAGTAAAGTTTTTAAATGTTTTTTTTTCGTTTTGATTGTTTTAATTTAATGAGGGCTAATAATTCTTTTCTTTTCTAGTTTTTTTGTTACACAATATCATTTAATTGAGAAATTAGTTTTAAATAAAAGTTTATCAGTTTCTAGAGTATTATAATTACTCAAAACAATGCTTCAGTGGTTTGCTCTTTAATTTTTTTGTACATTTTTAACTTTTTTTTAATTTTTCTACTTTAAGGAATATTGTAATTTTTAATTTAATTAATATAAAATATAACTAATAGTACAGAAAAACACACTAGCCTTTAGATTTTTCGAACAAATTAACTTTCCCGCTACGAAATCTGTCAAATATTACACAACTCATTTTTAAGTGGCACCGCCTTGGTGGCAAAAAAAGTCAGGGATGTCCTGCGAAAAATTTTGCCAACTTTTGAATTTGAGTTTTAATTTAGGTTTTGTTCAAATGTTTGCTTTGACTGTCTTGTTAATCGCGTTAAGTGTGAATTGTTACTGCAAATAAACTGAGAATGTAAAATCTAGACGCCACTCAAGTTGCTAGGGCTGTTACTTTAATTGGAGCTGGGCACACCTACGAACATGTGGTCCGGACATTACAAGTATCAAAATATCTGGTACACCGAGATGTCAAGAGGCATCGGCAGACCAAACAGTATAGGAGACTTGCAGTACAGGGACGTAAATGGAAATTTGTCACTAGAGATGACCGGTTCATCTGTGTACCAGTGTGCTTAGAACCAGTGTGTACCAGTGGTGCTTAGAAACCGAACCTTAATTTAACTATTTCTGATTTAAGAACGAAGCTCCAAGAAGTTCGAGGGGTAAGTCAGTAACAGTAAGCACAACTGTGAGATAAAGACTGGAATTGGCGTTGCCTCATGCCATCGAGTAGCTCGAGTAGATTTTGCTCGCAATCACAAAAACTAAGGGAGGTATGTTCAGTGCAACATCATTGGAAAAGAGGCATATGGATAGGTCAGTTATGATACGGGGAAGTATTTGTATGGGGGCACGTACGGAACTCCGCGTCATTGAGAATGGGTCACTAACAGAAGCACGATATGTAACTGAGATTTTGTTTTCCGACCGAAAACTAATTTTTCAATTTACATTTTAGGTATAGCGTTCCGCTCTCAAGTAAGTTTGGCAGCTCGGTAGCACAGTGATCAAGCATTCGTGGGTTCAAGCCCACAGTAAATAGTGTTATGATCTGCAAATAATTGTTCCGGGTTTGGCCCATATGCAATTTATGTTTGTAAAACGCATCCACGTTATAGAATAAAAATACTCGGCACTCTCGTTCTTAAAAAAAGTGTCACACCTTCATAATTTTTTGAACTTTTCGAAATAATCAGATAGAAATTTAGCAGTATATAAGTAATAATTATTTCGACCTAGGTTCGCGGTCCGTTTTAAGGAACTTAAGAATTTAAGGCACTTGCATTTTCCCTATATTTCTACAGGAGATAAAAAAAATTCTAAACTTTTCACATTGAAATAATGAGCTGATGCTGAAGCTGATGATGTGCTCCATTAACCACCTACATCTTCTCTGGTTCTTTTCACCAGCCATGCGAGACATAGCAGCATTATGCTCCCATTTTACGCTGGTATTCTGTGGACGCATGGTTCTTTTTTAATCGGGAGACCTATTTTTCAATATATCGACCATAATACAGCTAAAGCGTCAATCTACCACGTCATAAAATGATATTTCAAAATAATTATAACATTCCACAAAACAAGTTTAGCTATTTATTTTAGTTTCAGAGAAGGTTCAGTCGCCTTAACTTAAAAACTTGGAAATAAACTAAATAAGCTTATTTAGTTTTTACCAAAATTTGTACAAATTCTGTAGCTTTTCATCTTAGGATATATTATATAAAAAGAAAATTTGCAATGGCAATTTTTCGTTTCTAATTAATGAATAACTGGTACTATAGTTGTTATACATTCCTTGTGCAGTTTACCAATATATATTATAGGTAGGTGGTAGGTACCTAGCTGTGCCCGGTATGCGTTGCAATGCTTCTTTTTTGTCTGAAGCCTTTGCGAAGTTCCATCGTAGTCGGATGAATGGTATAAGAGAAGAAGAACAATTAAACTAAACTAAACTAAATATTCATTTATTTCGTCAGAAAACATCCGGGGCGCGCACACACAGCTACAAATTTACATCGTAATCGCATGGATGTTTTAGTAACGCATAGAAGACGAACAACCAAATATGCATTTTCATACATACAATAAAAATAAACGTATTATTTTAATTTGATACAGTGACAGTGTCGACACATCGGAACGCGGACAAGGCGCGATTGCGCGTGCGCTGCCGCTTTCCCGACTTTCCAGCTGACGGACCAACACAATCCGACTAACAAAATATAGTATTATAAACTCGATACCTGCCGTCGTGAAAGGGCTAATTTAGATACAAAAAAACAATTCACTCTATAGTCGCAAGCTACATATTTATGTATTTGAGACGAATCATTGAATGAGAATTTACGTTACACCCATCATATCGTTTTCATATCGTTTAACCTCCAAATACGTAGACAAATGGCGACTAAGTTGTAAACTAACAAGTCAATACGTTATTTTATTCTAGAGTAAAATGTTTTCATTTATCTTGTTTCTGAAATTACACATTAAAAATATGGTTGATGAACTTACAAGTTATCATTTCCATATTTTTTTACTAGAGAACAATGTATCTTGATGCATCAATGTAATCAAGAATTGTTTCAAGAAGTGTGCATCACAGTGGTAACGCCGAGCGAGGACGTCGCTGGACGAGTCACTCGTCCTCTGTCGTCATGCGCAGGTAGCGACCAGAGGACGACATGTCCATTGTTTATCGCTGTTCGTTGTTAATTATTATGCCCGAACGCAGACAGACGCTTGCCGAATGCCGACCGCGGCTGCCACCCGTGCGTATAGCGCAAAAAATTCAATAAAATATCATCTACCTGGGAATAAGTCCCGGATGTTTATATTATCTATTACAACTTTTCTGTTCATACAAAATTATTGTTGTAAGTAAATAAATGTTGACATTGAACGATTAAATTAATCGAAACGGTCATAGATGACACGGCTATCCACTCGGACTATCGTACTTAAAGTAAAGCGCTCGATTGAGGACCGTTACGTGAAAAGTCGAGTGCGCGGGGCGGGGCAGGAACATAACGACTGTGGCGCCCGAGCGCGGCCGAATGCCGAGTACCGAGACGACGAGCGACGACATAGAGCGGGGAGCGCGGGGGTGCGCCACTTTATCGCAGCGAGCTGGCAACATCGCGCGGGGTGGGAGCGCCCCGCGGCGCAACCTCTCACTCACCGTTGCCGGCTCGCCAGCCAGTGTTACCTTTGACGGCCGAACGTGTGGTTGCTTGATGTCAGTGACGTCGGCGTCGGCGCTCGCACTACACGTCTATGATGTTTCGTTAAATACAAAATCGTACTCGTGAGTGAGCGATAATAATAAATTTATTATCAAATGCTGGAACACAGTGACAGGTGCACAAATTGTACATGGGATTGGACACTTATGAACTGTGCTAAGTGACAATTTGAATTTTAGATCATAAAGTGCAGTGGCCCACCAAAAAAGGATTGCCTAGTGATAATTTGGATTTTGAACAATATTTTTGGATTGCATTATTTCAATGTGTCTGTTTGAAGAGGTGGAACAAGTGATATAAAAGTGAATTTTTAAGACAAACCATTTTAGGTGTGTTATCAATAAAAGATATCTACAACTTACCATTAACATAAATTAAAACGAAGTTACTTGCATCGCTTCAATAAAAAAAATATTCACGATTATTTAAAAAAATCGGAATAATATAATATGATGGTACAAGTTAATTTTTTCGTCACAGCTGATCGAAGAAACAATACATGGATGAAACGTTCATCGTCGTTGGAAAATTTTCGTTCTAAAAAATTAAAATATTATAAAATATGGGGAAAATTATTTCTAATGGTTTAAAAATAATCATTAAAAATTAAACCTATGAAATTTAGCGAAAAGCAGTAAAACGTTTCAAGTGAATTTAGTGACAAAAATTATTAAAAAATCTTGATATTAAACTTAATATAATTTATATTACTAGAAAATTGTGAAATATGTCCTGAGGACAGAACTCGCCACGATGAACGTTTCGTTGATTGTTGACGTTCTCAACGATGTTTCGAGCGTAAACGCCAGTAAAATTATAACAAAAAAATCGAATAACTCGCGCGCAACTGATGCGAATTGAAAGCTATTATTGACATTTGGAAAAGTATGTCGAATGTAAGAGAAAAACTTTCGAGACTACAATAGGCTGCGTGGTGTTTCAGGGGGTGCATTTGAATCGACAGGACGGCTAACTCTGCTAATACGGCTGGGTACGCGGGGCACAATATTACATACGCGGGAGCACAGGCTCCCGATACTGGCAAGCACAACCCTCTGCAAGGGACCATTGGATACAGAGTTAATCCACATAGGTAAGTACTAAGTACCTACTTAAAACTACAAATTAAATAAATAAATCTGAAAAATATTCATTAAATTATTACAATAATCATTTTTTCCGAAGATTCCAAAAAATTTTTTCCGAAGAGAAAAAGTGATTATTGGAATAACGAATCCAAAAGATATTGACCAATGTTATTTAAATTTAATCTGGTTACTTTTAGACCTGTGCAATAATATACGATATCGAACATTTCGTTACTATTTTAGAACAAAATATTATTTATTAAATTATGTATATATACATTACAAAATTAATTGAAATATATCCACAATTATTTTTCCTCGAAACAAGTAGGTACCTATTTGTCAACGAAACGTCCCGCCTATTAAGGCACTCACTGTTTTTATCTTATCCGGAACAAGTTTGTTTACATTTACACAAAACGCTAAAACGTGCCTTGTGTACCTGTGCCCACCTTATCGTTGTTAACAGGCAATAAAATCAAATACACTCTATAAGCATAACTCATTTGCTACCACATAACAGTGTGATTTATATTACCTACGGCATAAAATAAGCAATATTTGTGTATGCACGTAAGCTTAAATTGTACGGTACGGAAATCCCCCATAATCAAATGGTTACTTAAAAGTACACGAGTAACTGACATTGCCGACCGCGCGCATCACTGCAATTATAATGAAAGAAATGAAATGTGTTCCTCCATTCACACGCACAAACGCTTTCGGCGCCTATTACACACACTAATATCCCTCACACTCACACAAGCATAAGTTTAACGCACACAGCTCTACTCACTCACATTAACGCACGATGGGAATGCAAGCGGTGACTGCACTTCAGCTCTTACAATAAACACAAACAAACAAATTATTAACACAATGCGCGCATCAAATAATTAAAGCCTCATTTAGTAATTTTTCTACTAGGATAATTTTCATTTCAATCGAAAATAAATAAACGAACATCATAAATATCGATGGAATCATCAACAGTTTCCAATAATTATTATAATTATTAGCTAGAAACTGTAAATAACTTTAAAAAACGAGCAGGTGCTAAGTTGAGGCGCTCAACGGCTTTGTTTCGTAGTCACCTTTACAAGCGACATATTGTTGATGGCTGCGCGCCTTTTATTCAAAACCAATAAGTAAATAATAATAAAACGGGGACTGGAAGCGTGATTGTGTGAATAGAGTGCAGGAAGTCTGCTTCACATCAAGAGTACCGGCGGGGTACACAATTAATATAAACAGTTGCCTAAGACAAATCGTTAAAATAAAAACAATAGCTGTATATTTTACATGCCCTCGATCTTAAAGGGACAAATACGCACTTATGGCTAAATTTCTTAATAATAACAGATTTGTAGCAGTTTGTAAGTAGTCGTGGGAAAAAAATTCTGTTTTCAACGGGCAAAGCGGCCGGGGGCGGATGCACTGACACAATCGTATTTATACCACGTGCTCAATAGAGTTGAACGAATTTACTTAAACCATTTCGCTCTACACGTTATTTAATATTTATACTTTAAGAGAGCATTTCTTGCATTTATATATGTAGTGTGTAATTGATTTTTCTGAAAGGACACGATTCGAATAAAATTTTGTATTTAGATATTTTAACGCAGAGTGAAGCTCGGCAACCTTGGTACTAAACAATTAGCGAACTGTCTCACATTAAGTAAGTGAATCAAAATGATGTTTACGATCGTACTTAAAAAATTACGCTTAAAAGTTTCGTTTCATTTTGGTCATACGGAAACAAATTATTATATGAAGCTTCGTAATAAAGCCCCATATTGACGGGAGCGGGCCCACTTACCCTAAGCTTGCGACTCGGGTGAGGCGACCCTTCCCGTTCATTGTATCGTATCCACCCTAAAACGCTCGCCTTCATTTGTAACCCCCGGAATTCGCTCCTTGAAGCATGATTCATTCTCTCCCGACCTCTAACATCACTTGACGAGTATGAGATAAAAGTCGCGAAAAGATAAAATTTGTAGGTAATTAAAAACTAAAAGAAAATAAAAATCATACTGCAATGAACCCTGATTACATTACAGTCTAATTATCAGACGCAATATATTTATTTGCAGTCACTTTGTTATTAATTTGTACAACTATTACAAAGCTATAACATCAGACCAATAGCACCAAACCTCTAATTCTATTATATACTATACAAATGTGCACACAGGCCACAATGTGAAGTGGTATTTTAATAGGGGGTGACCAACTGTCGTCGAAAAACAGGGGTGGTACACGTCACGGCTTCACGCTACCTCGATAGTAATCTATACAAGGCTTAATTAATGCCTTATTTAACACTGTTTTATTAAAAACTAAATTGTTGATTAATACAGGTCGTTAACGATATAGTAATTTATTGATTGACGACAAGAACATTTATAGCATTTAAAATTTTGGATTCACTATATTTCGTATATAGCCGATACAAAATATGTGTGTATGTTTAAAAAATTTGAATTGAAAAACATTGTTAAACCGTATTATACTCAGCAGTGCATTCCTTCGCGTACGGCGTTTTGTTGATAATATGTCTTTACGAATTGATCCTTTGAAATTCGTCCGATAATACCTTTGGCGCTCAATAAGGGCCGTAATTTGATGTTAAAAACTTAACTTGCGCTTGATATTTGCTAATTGGAACTCCCGTCCTATAATTTCTTTCAAAGGAGAATTCGAAAATAACGTATCTTCACCGACAATTAGCTAAGAACTCGACGAGTCCGATGAACAATCTAAAATTAACTACAGCCTATGTATCAAAATTCCTACGCGTTTCCCTCGTCTATCTTTCAATAGTACGCCAAACACCTTCCAGCTTCTCAAAATAGCAACATACTCATTCATATTAATTTATTCAGCCGTCTCGCATATCAGAAAACGTGCAGTTTTGATTTATATTCACATAAGTAAACCCTTTTTTTTATTGATCTTCATTTATTATTTCGCCTAATTTAATTTTATCTGTAAACATACAAAATAGAACAATTCCAGAACACAATGGTAATGTTAACTGTGACTATATAACGTCTAATAAGCATACATTTGTGCCGGGAAATGAAGCTTATAAAAAGAACGTTCCAAGAACTATCTCAAAGAGATGCCTCGACAAACCGCTCGCATTCAAGAACCCAAATATTTTGAGCGAGCCGTAAGTGATTATTCGGATGTGGTACCACTTTTACAAAAAGTGCACCAGGATACAGAATACAAGGATTTTTTTGTCGGCTACACATTTTGGCCGGCAAAAGAAAAAGGTTCAGACAAAACTATAAAAAGAAGTGCAGGTCGGACGAAGTTTACCTAAGGAAGGACCCTTGTAAATCATCTGCACCGTCTATGAATAAAGACGCGTCGACTTGAGCGCTGTTGACTTGCGTGTTTATTGGTTTTCGACTCTACTAAGTATCTGTTAAACTATTTATGGCGATACTTTAATGTGATTTGTGAAAAGCATACAAATAATCAATTAGAGGGTTAATAATTATTATTAATGTAATACATACAAATTGTTAGGTAACTTGCAAAATTCTAATTTACGTACAGTGCATTAAAGAATTTCTAACAATAATTAGGTGTTAATGTTTCAACATAAATGTTTGTGATTTAGATAATATTTAAATATAGGCATTCAATATTCATGATTTATACTCTGCGATTTCGCACATTCAATATTGTTGCCCTACTACAGAAACGCGTGTAACAATAGGTAGCCCGTGCGAGTGTTTGTCGGGTATTTGTCGAATGGGAATTATTAGGAAGGGCTCCGAGAAGGCTCGGGAATTGGCCCCAAAAGCAGTTCACATGAATCGTTCTCCCACTCCTATGCCATACAAAAAATCAAACACATCCCGAGTGAAACACAGGGGTAACAACGCGTCACTCACTACACGTCCATATTGATTTTTTCTCTCATTGTTCGTCAAAATAATAAAATCTCTGAACGTATTAAAAAAAGATCTTGCGTCAATACAATTTGGGTTGAATATTGAGTCCGTGTTTATTAATAATCGAAGCGTTAACGTGTGGAATGTAAAATGTTCGACTCTGCAAGGCCGCTTGCAATAGAATAGAAACTACTCGTATCACGAATTAAATAAAATTGCCGGACTGATTTCACATTTTAATACCTATGTTAATATATAAAAATATACTTCTGTAGGAAATCATCCGTAGTTTATGCATATTGAAGGAACTATGACTTTAATTGTTTACCTATTTGCTTTTCAATAATATAACCAATATTATACATCATCAATCAAGAGGGACAAGATAATAAATATGTGTTTGTTTGGTGTGCAGCGGCTATGGGTGCACGGGCGGTTCGGGCGCGATGAGCGGCGGGGGCGAGAACGCGCAGTTCGGCGCCACCGCCGCAATGGTTGCCGCGGCCACCACGGCCGCGATGCAGGACTCACAGTCCTTCTCGCAGGTATGCAATTATCAGCATTATAATGTATTCTACCTATGCTATCCGTGGAAAACTTTACTTAAAACTGAAATTTTACTTACCGAAAGGAAGCATCATTGTATTCTAGATTAAATATTCTATCCCTATACACTATTTTCTCGTTCTCAACTGTTATTTCAAATCTGTAATGTCTTTTGGTCTTACTTGCAGATGCAAAACAACATGACTATGGGAAATCCCCAGTATGGCGCGATGAACGGCTACGGTCAGCAGCGCAGTCATAACCCTGCCATGACTGGCATGGGCATTGGAGGAAATGGCGGCATGAACGGAATGACTAGCATGAACCAGATGGGAAACGCTGCCATGAACGGCATGAATCCCATGGCACAAATGGCCAATATGGGCATGCACGCAAATATGATGTCTTCGCAGATGGGACCCGGACAAATGGGCAGTTCAGGGAAAATGGGCCCAGCGTACCAAAGGCGCCACGCACCTTATCCATCAGGGACTATGCTTATGGGACAACGAAAGCCTCAGTACATGGGTGGCCAACCGGGATTTGGGCCTGCGCAATACCCTACTGGATATGGGGGAAGACCTGGATTTCAATCACAGTATCCGCCTCAGCAGCCGTTAGGCCCGACTGGGAACTTTGGAGCAGCTATGAGAGGAAGTATGCGGCAATCGACACCTCCTTATTCCAACCAAGGGCAGTATTTCAATGGTGGCGTGCCTAACCAGTTTCCTCAGCATCAAGCTGGAAATACACAATATGGAGGGCAATATAGCGGGCAGTTTGCGCAAGAAGTTGCTATGCGAACGAGCATGACTTACCAACACAGTCCAGTCCCCGGAAACCCAACTCCGCCTTTGACGCCAGCAAGCAGTATGCCACCTTATATCAGCCCTAATGCTGATGTAAAACCCCACTTTAATGAGCTCAAACCACCGATGGGCATGCAGAGTAAGTTTTCTTTTTTAATTTAATTTGAATAATCTAAAGTTTACTTAAATATAATAAAATAAAACTTTTTTTATCTTTCAGATGACGAGCTCCGGTTAACATTCCCTGTAAGAGATGGTATTATTTTACCACCATTTAGATTAGAGCATAATTTAGCAGTTAGCAATCATGTATTCCAATTAAAACCGACGGTCCACTCAACTTTAATTTGGAGGTAAATGTTTCAAACAGTTGGTGAAAACTGTATTTACTGTTATAACTATTCTAGATCATTTGACTTAACTAATTAAATCTTTGTAAAACAGATCGGACCTAGAATTACAACTTAAATGCTTCCATCATGAGGATCGGCAAATGAATACGAATTGGCCAGCGAGTGTTCAGGTGTCGGTCAACGCAACACCATTAGTCATAGATAGAGGCGAGAACAAAACGTCACACAAACCATTGTACCTGAAAGAAGTGTGCCAGCCTGGCAGGAACACGATACAGATTACAGTATCCGCGTGTTGTTGTGTAAGTATATTGCGTAATTTTCTAAAACATTACGTCTACGTATTAAGTTAATATGTCTAAACATTTTTAAGAAGCAAATAGTTGAAGAAAGTAAATATGTAACGTTTCAACTTCCAGTCGCATCTGTTCGTATTACAATTAGTCCACCGGCCGAGCGTACGCAGTGTTCTACAAGGGTTGCTTAGGAAGCGACTGCTAACTGCTGACCACTGTATCGCCAAGATCAAGATGAACTTCAACCAAGCTCCAGTTAACAACAACGGTTCTAACACAGGCAATGACAGGGATAGCGTAGAGCAAACAGCTCTAAAAGTGTCATTAAAATGTCCAATCACATTCAAGAAAATCACATTACCGGCGCGTGGACATGAATGCAAACACATACAGTGCTTTGATTTAGAATCATATTTACAACTCAATTGTGAACGGGGGTCATGGAGGTGTCCAGTGTGCAAGTGAGTAGAATATTAATTAATTTGACGCAAATACAACACTTAAGTATTATAAAATACACTATAAACATAGTTTAAAATTTTAGCAAATTAGTAAGATATACTATACACATATTAAAAATTACTTACGTCGTCTGAATTATTTAACGTAGTCTGTAACTAAACATTAGTTTATAATAATAAAATAAATTTAAATTCTTAGATACGTAAATAGGTTTACATGGTGAACCGCATGATAAATACGTTAACCTAACCCCAGATGGTTTTATGCATATTCATACAAAATAATGAAACCAAAATTGATACCTATTTCAGTAAACCAGCTCAATTAGAAGGCCTAGAAGTAGATCAGTATATGTGGGGTATCCTCAACACGCTCAACAGTTCTGATGTTGATGAGGTTACTATCGACAGCGGGGCAAATTGGAAAGCCGCTAAGAATCCCGCAAACCCAGGAATTAAGGTAACTGATTATATAATTACATTATTTTGAATTCCATTAGCAAAAATATTGCATATTGACAGATGCAAAGTAGAAGCTTCACAAGTAGATATTTTCTTCAAATCAATATGCTTATTAAATTTTCAGCAAGAAGATGACAGCAATGACAACAGTTTAGGGAAGAGGAGCAAAGCGGTCTCTCCTGGGTCAATGAACATGCCTACCATGAACAATTGGGATCAGGCGCTGTCGCCTTATTTGCCTCCAGACATGAACACAATTGCGAGCGGTTCTATGATCTCTTCTTACAACCATAGTACACAGAACAGAAACTCAAACGCAAATAGCCAGAATTACGACTTTAGCATGAACAATGGCCCTGGAAGCAATGAGTACACTGGCAATGGACCTCTTACGCATTTAAATGACAGCGTCAATTCCTTAGATCCACTTAACGCGATGGAAAAGAGTTTGAATGAACAGGTATGTTTAAATGAAATTATATTTATAAATGTAATATAAATAAATACTAGGATGGTTGTTATTCTTAAGTGGAGACGAATAATTTATTACGAAAACGAACAAATATTTTTGAATACTACCTTTAATAATTACTACTTATATTATATATTGCACAATGTATAGGTATTTATTGTTGCTACACTTATTTTACTTTTATTTATTTACTAAAATAATTGAGGAACATAAACATGCCGATGTAGACGTAAAACCTGATCGCGATTCAATTATATTTTAACTCTTTAAATTGATTGATTGTGGATATGTCGTGGATCGATTGTTAAATTGTTCACATCATGAAACTCAGCCATTTCATGAAAAAATTACACAGCCTATTGTCTGCATCATAAATCTTGATATGCCTTTGCCTGATCAATGAATAGAAATCGTTTGACAACAATACGGCAAACCAAAACTCAACGGTTACTTTAAGATGTGGCCAAACATAAATGATCATATCGTAAAATATTAACATTATCTACCACTGGGGCGCTGCCAGTGCATTTTCAATAGAGTTGCCAGATCGCCTCGGAAGGGATTATGAAATGGCGGCGAATTGTATTTTTATCGAGGATGGCCGAAGGAACATTTCAGCCAAACCTCAACCTACTATCGCTGATATTACGGATAGGTTCTTTCGTATTTAAAAAAAAATTATCGGAAGTCAAAGCTTTATAAATTATCGGCTAAATCATAAAATGGTGGCGTATCATGAAGTGCCCAGACCCATCACGATTTGCCCAATTTTACGATTGGCTAATGATATAGTCAAAATTGAATGGACAAATCGAAAAAGTTGACATTTGAACGACATGATCAGTATTAATGTGGCTAGTTGGTACCGAGGTAACAATTATACTTCCTCGACATGAAATCTGTCAAATATTCCACCCTACTCCAAAATGGCACCACCCTGGGGGCCGAAAAAATTGTGGAAGCTCTCATTGGCTATACCGTGAAATATCTGACCATTTCTTGATATAACCACGTCATGCAGTGATCAACGCAACGATAGGGCCTCTATTAATATTATACTATGTTCTTCATGTGTCATGAGATAGATTAAGTAGACTACGCGACCAACTTTTACGTTATAACTTATTGAGAATGATCATTGCTTTAGATGAGAAAAAGTCGCAAGAATCATGTAGCTGTGTAAAAAATCGGAATGTATGATATCATTGTCCTAATTTAAGGGTAAAAAAGGTTTACGTAAAATCCAACGCAATTTTAGTTTGCAGTTTTCTTGTTTTTTTGTATAGCTCAGCAATCACATGTACGTGCGTAGAGTACAAATACAATTACGAATTTTGAGCCTTATGCTTTCCGCAACAAACAAATGTTTAGATTTGTCAGATAAGGTGGGCGCTGAGGCAAGCAGCATTATCTTTTCCATTAAGGTTTCTTGTTTAAGGTGCAGCCATTTTTGTTATTAATAAATGAATCTTTGTAAAAAAAAAAAAACTTAATCGTAAGTGGCCAAGCTGAGCATTCGTGCTATCATGCCATCTAGAAACAAAACTAATGTACTCACGTACCCGCAGATGCCGCACACTCCGCACACGCCGCACACGCCGGGCTCCGCGCACACGCCCGGCGGTGGCGGTGCCCACACGCCGGGCTCCAGTCACACGCCGGGCCCGCCTTCCGTTGGACATCCGCTAAACGAAGTCGACATACCCGCGGACCTCAACTTTGACCCCGCCGCTGTCATAGACGGCGAAGGCACCGACAATCTCAACGTAAGCACCGTCATTCTTTAAAACAAGAAAAAACGCTATCAATGTCACTTATAAAGCGCACACACGAATTAAAAAAAAATTATTGCCCATGCGTGTTTTATATATACAGACTCACACGTTCCTTAAGTTTTATTTTTAATTTAATAATGCTAACTGCATAACACAACTTAAACGTTTTTTCAATTTTATATCAACCTTTATTACAATATTTGTATGCGATCAGTAAATTAACATCAAACAAAGTCTAAGTTAATTAAAATGTAATAAATAACAATGACAACTTTAAAAAAAGTGTATCTATACTTCTCTTCCCCTTTTTCCCTATATTAATAATAAATGTTTCTTAACTTTCAATATTTTCATTCTATCATTACATTTGTACACACACGACAGTGTTGCAACATTATTTTTAGACAAGGTATTTTTTTACATTAAGATGAAAAATTTTTAGTTTCTAAAATTTTACTATTCACGAAGTACTACTATACTATTCACTTATATAAAAATTTTATGTGAAACAAATTTAGAAATACAGAAATATAGAAAGTATCAAGAGATTACGAAAGTTTCTGCCAAATTAATATATAACGAATATTTTTTTTGCAGTTGCTTCCTGAAACTAATGTGGACCCTATGGAGCTGCTGTCGTACCTAGACGCACCAGCACTAGGAGAGTTGCTCGCAACACCACCATCTTCCTCCTCGTCAGCGGGTTCGCATCCTCCAAGAGCTCCATCTTCTGACGATCTACTAGCACTATTTGAGTGAGCCCTGTCACTCCTCTCAGGAGACCCGAACTGAGCGAACTGAAGACCTTTAGTCAATAAGGACTTCTCACACTACTACGAAAAGTGGACTTATCCATAGATCTCGTTAATGGTACTTTTACGTGGAACTCTTAGTTCACTCAACGAGTATTATAGGAAGTTACTAACACGACGGAGACGTTACTCTTACGTTAAAGTTCCGATGTTCGTTGGTTTGTGCACGTAGTGCGGCGGTAAACATAACTGTTCGAGCTAGTGAAGCCCGATATTGTGATACTAGATTTTAGTTCCTTCTCCAATTGTAAGGGCGTTGAACATTGCAGTCATAGAAACAGTGTGAATCTCTGTAACGTTGTTAGGGCCATGCTATAAGATTGGATACTGCAACGTTGAACGTCGTCACAAACGGGGGCATCGCTTGTCGTAACAACGGTGCCGGATTACATTAAATAGGTTATGTATAGATAAAGTTTTAAGGCGAGGCGAGCGCCGCGCTGGCCATACACTGCGGTGTTGTGCATGTATAGTTCCTCGCACCGCCGCTACGGTGGCGCCACTCAGCTCCCTATATTCTAAACTCTAGCATAAACAGTAACACAAATTTACAATAAATATTAATTCAACTTCTTATTAAATTTGATAAAATACGTATAATCAATTAGAGTTCTTTTTGTGTCCTTTCTTTGTTAATAGTCGACCAGGTTGTAAATAAAGATTTTTATTTGTGCTAGTTGTTTGGTAGTGCTAGCGGGCGTGGTCGCGGCATGTATATATAGATTAACCATGACCATGCTTGCACAGGCATTATGAATCTTATAGTTCCTATTTGATGCGAGCGAACTATAATGTTCAATTGCCGTTCATTGTAACATATTCCTTGACGTTATCACATATTCTGCATTTTTAAATAAGTAAGATATGATAAGATTCGTGAGTATAGTGCTACTCGCTTATTGGGTGATATATTCTAAATGAGTTGTTTCAAATCAAGAAATAAACAGTAACAAACTAGTTACGAAAATATATTGTAAATGTGAGTGCAAAAATGAACTCTGTTAAATTATTTTGCGTTATGTGAATCGAAGAATGATAGAAATATATTTTAATTTCTATATAAAGAGTAATGAACTGTATTATTTGTAAATATGAGTCTAGTTAAGAATATTATATTACCTAGTTGTATTTAGGAGAACATGGCAGATACTTATATGACGGCCAGTTTTAGTGTAGTATTACTAAATTAAAATTCTACACATGGTTTTACATGTACATACAAATACCATTATACAATATGCATGTGTTCGGGCGCGCAAAAGTGACAATTTCAACAACATTCTAAATTCTATGTAAATTTGAGAAAAGTACTAAAACTAGCAAAGAATATTCTTCATTGTATCAGTTTATATTTTGTATGTTTGCACTTATCTAAATAGTCAATTTATCATTTTAATTTACCTGTAGATGAATGAATTTTTGTTACATGGTGCATGTCATATTTTTTTAACAATGTTCATATTCTGCATTTAATTTCCTCCTTTGTTTTAAACAAATTAAAATTAATATAGAATACCTACAATAATTGTATAAAATTTAAGTATACCCACTCCTTTCTTTCAAAAAATGTTAACATGTTAAACTAAATGTATATGGAAAAAACAGTAGCTTTATTACTATAACTTGATACTTTTCCTAATTTTCAAGTAATAACATGTGCCTATATTCACATATTTATGAAATGTCACTTTTTCGTGCCAAAACACATACATTGCTCCATCGTTCACAGATAAAAAATATTGCTTATCTAGCTCATCTCAATTTATTAAGTGGACCCTAGAAGGTATTGCAGTATGACATGCATTATGTAAATGGTCATGTTGCATGACAGACCCATAAGCTATGCCATCAATCATTCTATTATATTTCAAGATAGCCCTTCCTAGACTACAGTGAACAGGTTTCTGCGTTGTTGTTTCCCCAAAATTTTTTGTGACAATGTCAAGTGCAGACTTATTTATTCTTGTACTTAATACTTTGCAAAAAACATAATTTTGTTTAAAGAAATATTTTTCTTGTTTTTGTCCATGTTTTTTTTTTTGGTACAACAATTCAGAGAGAGAATCTTTATACATTAATCTGAATAATACAATCTCCTTTTTGTTTTGAGAATGTTAATCAAATATGCTTACATAGACTCATGATGGGGTTATCTAGTGGTGCAAAAAGTCTGATTTACTGCAATTTGCCAATCAAAAGATGATCATGTGTGCATATCAATAGAAGTTTGCCTAATGAAAATTTAAATTGAAATTGAATTGTCAATCACAAGGCATGCAGCATTACTGTCTAGGGCCCACCTTACATTACCTTATTTATTAAACTGCTGCCCTTTATTCAAAACAATTATAAGCAATAATGCATATATTATGTATCGAATTATAAAAAATGTTCTTAACTTTGCCATTTATTTTGTCGAAGTTTCCCAATTTAAAAAAATTCATAAAAACCAAGATGAGCATTAAATTTATGAAGACTAGTTTCACATATTTTCAAATGTTTGGTTAAATTGCATTGTATTTTCTTATTGTCTACTCAAAATTGATATTAAAATTTGTCTAAAGATTAAGGAGGTGCAGCAAAAATTTGTCTGACTGTGGAAATTTCTAAATGGAATTAAGTTCCCGATAAATCTGTCAATCACAATTCATAATTCCTTTTACTTAATGTAAAATTTACAGTGACTTACTGTTAAAAAGTTTAAGAAACAGTTTATTCATTATCTATTAAAGTTTATATATGTAAACTGTCAAATCTTTACTTCTTGTGTAAAATTGATCATTTTGTACATCTTATCTTCATGCTATTATGAATATGGACGCCTCTCTAGAGTTAGTGAACTATTACAAAAACAATAAAATTAGTGTTATAAAAAGCTGTGGTCAATTCTCAAGTTGGATGGAACATTTTATGAATGAGCATTGTTAAGGTCTATGCTCGGCAAAAAGAAAATGAGATTAGTTGATCACAGTTATTAACATAAAATTAAAAATTACATACTTTTAAGGGACCTTCAATTCCAGTTAGCTAGTTCTATTTATTGTAGTGAATATTGCTGTTGGATGGATTATCATATAGATTTTTGTGAGACCAAATAGTAATTTTTTACAATTTTACCTTTTTAAGGTAAATGATGTATTTTTGTTTATATAAAAATGGAAAATATCAATAAAAATGTTTTGCATATCACAAAACAAAATACAAAAATCAAAATGAATAATCCATTCATACAAGTGAATTATTACAATATATTTTGTTGAATATTATAATGAAAACTGCTGTGGAGTATAGTAGATTTTTGCTCGTACAAATGTAAAATACAGCATTTGGAAATAAGTGAAAAAAGAAATTCTAAATAAGGAGACATGACCCTCAGTTCATGCAAAGCCAAACTGTACTGTAGTTAAAACTCTTGAACTTGATGTGAACATTTTAGTAATCGGATTCATACCCACTGAAATTCATTTCAAAATGTGTAAAATGAGAAAAACATAACATTTTTATGTTATTGAAAATAAAATGAACTTAAAAATTATGTCTTTTTTATTTTGTTACTGAAGACAAGTAATAGTAACACAACTACATAAGTTTTGTTCATGGTGCAGTGAACTGTTTAACAGCTATCAAGTATAGAACAACCTAAAAACAACAGAGCACTTGGCAACATGAAACATGTTTTAACTTTAATGCCCATAATTATTGTAACTAAAATATGACTTCCATCATTTTCGTTTGGTACCTACTTCACCTAAAATATACAGCAATACCTTATAATAATGAAAAATGTCAACCGAATCTGATTGAGAAAATTCCACTAGACAAAATGGCATCTACATTTTGTATAACAAAGAAGTAAATAAACATGATATGTTTATAAAATAATGATTACATTATAATGACTTTTAATTACAGAACACTTTATTGAAAGGTACTCTGTGCACTATTACCCCTGGTGAGTGGCGGAGATATTTATTCATATTTCATAAAACAGACTCATTTTTAACTACCAAAACTTCATATACATATACTGGTATCTGGTATTTATTAAACAAAATGTTTATAACAAATAGCTGTGCACAGTGTTTTGTTTACTGTGGTCTAATAATAATCATCATCATTACAACCTTTCATAAGTCCACTGCTGAACATAGGCCTCCCCCAAGAAATGCCACAAAGCATGGTCCTGAGCCACCTGCATCCATCGGCTTCCTGCATGCATGGTTTAATAATAAAGAGTATATAACTAAATCAATCTGTCTAGAAAGTGTACTATCACTATGTTTTACGGGTAGTAAGCGAGGGTTGTTAATTTTAGATTAGCCAATTATGGAAGCAAAATTCTTAGACGATACAGACTAGTCAAATTGTATTTTATTCACAAAATTCTTCACAATATGCTGATGCATGACATAACGAAGTGTTTGGGAGTTTGACGACCCCCGGTGCATCGAAAAGCATGTTTGTTGGTCCCGTCAGACCTGTCGGATTACCGCCAGATTACCAGAGTATGGGACCGTGAGATTGGGTGAATAGAGAGTGCACTTGTACTTGCGCATAGAATTGGGCACTATAATCCTGTTCTATGCATATAGCTATTTTCTGATAAGACTGGCCACCGTAACCGAAATTCTCTCTGAAGTATGAATCTGCCTACATTATTATTATTATTATACATCATACCTCAAGCCGCCCAAAGCCCATACGGAAAAGCTACCATCATAGCTCCTGTAAAATCGTTCTACTTACAGTTCACACGCACAGACACAAATTTGCACCTCTTTTATATATCATAATACACTTCCAACAATTATTTGATAATTCAGGAGCAACTATCCGCCGGCCGTAGTTTCCAGTTCCCACTGAAACTACAAAGAAAGATTATAGATGATATGTATCCGTACTTAGTACTTCCGACCAACGACCGAGTTTTGCTCGACGTTATAAAAAAATAATGGTATCAGGTATTTTCAGACGGATGTTAGTTTTAATTAATTTTAATTTGTAACAGTAATTACCTTGAATTACCTATTTCAAATTACCGCGAACTAGGGATATTCGATATATGTACATCGATGCATCGAATCGACTCGATGTTTACAATACGATGAGTCGATTCGATGTTTTGGAAAGTTATTGATATACTCGATGTATCGGTGTTTTTTTATAAAACATCGAATCAATAATAACCAGTCAATTGTAAAAAGTTATACTTATCTATCAATATAAGTATTATAACTTCTAAATCAGAAAAACTAAAACATGCTCTGATTTAGAAGTTATAATATTAAACTTGTTGGTGGCGCTAGTTGGCAGCTGTCAGTCCCTTAGCGGAATCAAGAAGTAGAGATTGGCTGGTTGTTTGTTAAACAGAATTTAAAGAGAATCGTTTGGCCTGTCTCGGTCTTAAGGCCGCTTTTCACTTGCGCGCCGCAGGGGCAATCTAAGCAATATCAGAACTGTATCTACACAGATGCCTGCCGTTATGTGTAAGAGTGTATTTCTCGTTGGACACACGCGGTGAGATTGGCGCCAGTTTTATCAAAATATTAATGAATCGATAAATATAGCTCTTTTTTATTTAGAATAAGGTTGACAAATGAGCACAGTCGATCTGATGTTAAGTGTATACTGTGGCCCATAGACACCCATATTTATTGACAAAATAATTAATTAATTGATAATTACAACCATAACACAGTCCTTAAAAGCTGCAGCACGACTCTACCACGTTTAAAAACGTTACGTCGTTCAAATAAGGTTCTTTCTGCTACAATAAAAAAACAATAAAAAGACAAAAAGGAGGTACTGGGTGAAGAAGCCGCTCTTTATACACTTCTGTCACCAGTGTCCAAATTTCACATTTTTATTGGTATCCATTGTGACGTGTGCTGCGCGCGAAAGTCGCTTACGTACTGATTGAAATTGACCCAATTGCTCTACAGACATAGCAACGGTAGCTATGATCTAGGGAGCAAGAAAGGTCTTACGCACATGTCGCCCTGCCGCATGGCTGACTTAGAAAATTGCCCCTGCTTTCATACACAAATCACAATCAAGGAGGCAATTAAGGGTCATCCCCACTCCTACACCCTAGATTGCCCCGACAGGCAAGGCAATAGCCGCTTTTAGACCATTTAACCCAGCGGACTACCTCGCATGATTATTCCCCTGTGCCAAGGTATTAGATTTAAAAGCTTGTGCATTTATAAAAACTGTTTACGAATTCGAAGAATCGTTTCCGCCGAAGTAGATGCTGTTTGAATATGCTGATCGGTGCGGTTAACTTGTGCAGTCAAAACACTTAAAATTTACCAAATGATGGGGTTATAATCGAAATGCAAGTATTTTTATTGTGATGCATGCTTTCTTTCATTAGAATCATTAAAATAATATCATAAACCTTGACCTACTACCAAATGGACCTCGGTTCTGCGATCAAATGTCTGAGCCAACTGAGTTCGAAAATACAAAAAGAGCTCCAATTGCGCGCCAGTCTTCGTTTTATCGACCGATAATACACTCCAAAATGCCGTACTGTATCACAAAATGAGCAAAACTATTTATATTTATATATATTTTCGATAAGGACTATTAATAATTTAAAAGTAATATTTTGCTTAGATACAAGATACGTAGTATTTAAATTAAATTCATATTAATTGTAAAAACAAAAAATCATACAGAAAATATTTGCCAGAAGCTGCATAAAATGAAAACAGCCTCTGATTAAAGTTGAAAGGCTGATAAATTGTCGCAAGTAAAATTATTTATCCATTTAGTTGTAGGTCATAAATAATAATTTATTTATTCTTTATTGCATTCCCTAATATAAAAGAATACAAAGGGCGCCCTTAATGCCTTGAGGCATTCTCTACCAGTCATCCCATGGAGTGGTGAGAATTGACGTAGGTGTAGCAGTATAAAATAAAAACAAAATAAAAAATAAATAAGTAAGGTATATATAAATTTTACTTATATATAAAATAAATAAACTATAGAAATATCTCCTATATATACACATCATACGTTCTTAAGATTAAGATACTTTGTGTTTCGTGCAATAAAGAGTATCTATCTAACTGTCTAGCATCCTTGAACACACACACGCACACACACACGCGCGCGCGGTGTGCGGCTAAAGACAGTGCTGATTGAAGAGTAGGAGATCATTCAAAATTGACGGTTGTTCGAATGGGGTGTCAGAAAGTTGACTACAGATTTATAATGTGAAGTCATAAAATGTACTCGATGTTGAAAAACCATCGATATTTCGAACAGATGCATCGGAATATATCGATGCACAGTCTCAATGCATTAAATCGAAAGAAACTATCGATGTATTTTCAAAGTGGACATCCCTAGAAATTTTTTTTACAACTGTCTTTACGCCTCTGGGTTCAAGCCCTTCTGAGTCTGAAGTTACAATGTATAATGGACATCAACCCCAATTTTGTTAAGAGTATCAAAAAATTGTATACAAAATTACGAATTCAACGGTATTTTTATTTTTTTCCACCTTTAAAATGACTGAAATATGGATGAGTAAAGTGGTGTTTTACGGTAAGGGCGACCGCTTTGCTCCGCATCGCGATGTGACCTTACAATTCGGCACGTCGAAGCCACCAGTAGTGTTTATTGTTGTGAAGATGATTTTTATGTAAGTTTCATTATTATTTGTTTACATATATACCTATTGTTGTATTGTATACCTATTGTTACCTACAAAATATAATAAATAATAATATAAACAAACAATAACACACCAGTGGTAATAACTATTTGGGTTTTATATGCCTATTTACCTGTTCATGAAATAAGAGCGCTTGGCTAAGTGGTCGAGGTGTATGCCCATCTTACGTCGTTTGTATAGGGCACAAAATTACCTAAATTATTACTCTGCGTATTCAAGTCAAGGTCAGCACTCATAACTTATATATAATTCTCGTGTCACAACCTATACCTACAACTTTACCTACTTATGTTGGTATGTGTGTGTGTAAAGTATCGTAATATACTTTTAGCATTGCTAATAAATGCGCACGTAAAAGTATGTAAAGGTACGTAAAGGTATGCTAATAGATGCGTGTGCCGTGTAAGCTTAAAGCATAATACGATCGTATCACCATTTGCAAGGTCAATATCGATATGCAATGCACCACACAGCGTAACGCGCCTGTGTGCGTGAAGTACGTGCACTAATAAGACGAGTGTGATTGATCAGGGATAGGGAACAAACTGCTGTGACAGTATGTGTTAAAATAAATCCAAGAATAAAATCGATAGTGAAGTGAGGGATAGCGAACCTTGGCTCTTTGTTAACTTACATACAATAGCAATACGTTAAAGTTAGGTAACAATAATATGTATTAACTTGCCGGACGAAATACTATAAACCCAAAGGGGTTTTCGTGTCAAACAGCCATAAAAATCGAGATTGTAGATTCGAGTCCCACTTGCCATATAATTTTTTTATAATATTTTTTTTTCTTGTCATGTTATTTATTTATCAGTAACCTTTATTTTCTGTTCTCTTTTTATTTCTGTTATATCACGCTCCTTTAGGAACACGTTTAAATTTAGGAATAAAAGTCCGATATGAGAAGATAAAATCCTGTAGATCGTATTATACCTATATGCAAAATTTCATCCCAATCAGTTTAGTATAACACGCATTGAATATTTGCAACCATTGCATTCTCAAAACACTACAGGTACCAACTACCAACGTAATACCGCAATCAGTTTATTTAAAAGTAAGTCAAAGTAAAACTAGGACCAAATGTTTGCAACCACTGACGAACTACGTAATCATGAAAATTTCTTCACGTGACATTAGATAATAATAATATATAATAATACGAGTTGTTGCAATAGTAAGTATAAGAAAGT